TTAATTGCAGGTTTAAAAATAGTTTGCACCATTTTAGAATAGAAATCTTAATATCTATGTTCATCGAAATTGATGGAGCATCGCATTAAACTTTTGTGCAACACACTGCAATGTAAGTACCAACATCGCTAGCTTTACGGACTGACTCAATGCTGAATTGCATTAAAAAAATCGTCACTTACTTCTGCAAAGTCTAGAATAAACTTATCGATTTCAACTCAGTGTTTCTTGTGATTAGTCACTTAAGTACCTACCTATAGATTGGTGATTTATTTATAAAGAAGTAGCGACCCGGCCCTGCTTCGCACTGGTACAATTTATACTTAAAAACCTTCCTCTTGAATCACTCTATATTTAAAAAAAACACCGCATCAAAATCTGTCTCGTAGTTTTAAAGATCTAAGCATACATAGGGATAGACAGAAAAACGACTTTGTTTTATAAATGGAGTGATGATCTAGCAAGAGTTGGAACGGGTCTAAAAAGTATTTAAAGTTGTATAAAGAGAAATATTTACACAACAGTACTAGGCTTATGTAAACCAATTTATTGGCGAAACTCAATTTGTTCAATAAACAAGCGGTATATCTTTAACAGAATTGAATTCAAACAAATCGATTAAATTAAAGGAACCTACACAATACATCATCTTCCGAAAGAAATATTTACTCAGGGCGGCAGCGGGGGCAGTTATTAGGTTAATGTAAATACATGTGGATTGTCCAAAATTGGGTTGTCCCGGGACAAACACACCTTTTTGTATACGTATATGTATATAGAGGCGACGTGTTATTATGGCGGGATCTATCGACTAGGCTAGGGATGTAGAAGAAACATGTCGATATCGAAGTTTTATAGCACTGAGAGGTTGCGACTTGCGAAAATAACGATAGGATCATTTTTCATCGCTTTGTAATACAATAAGAACATTAGGTTATGGGCCCTACTTGCAACACGTGTCAGGAAAATTGTTGAGTTACCTATACGAGTAGTTAACTCGTAGGTACATCATTTCTTTTTAAGGAAACAATAAAATGTCATAACGAGCAACAGTGTGACTAATTAATGGGATTTTTTTCCCAACGAGTAACGTGTTAATCGTTTCGGTGTGACTAGTAGGGCAAGTTATTGACGTAAGCTGGCCCATGACACTATGAAATTTTTTCAAGCTAACATGACGCCACAGTAGATAAAAGTTTTTAAAGTACATATTACCACAAAATAGTAATAGTACGAGAGGCGACCGTAAAACCCTACGTCACTTGATACTAAGATAAGCTCCATGGCACACGTTCAGAAAAGTTGTGCTAAGCTTGGAACAATTAAGTAATAAACTCTGATTTGCACGAAAGTACAAAAAAATCTCTATATTTATCGATATGAATGAAATTAGGACATCACTAGTAGGCTTACTTCGATAAAAATGTTTATTTGAAACCGATGGAAAAATACTTTAGTGAGAAGTGGCCTCAGCTGAAGCCTCGGGAGCCTTTCATGAGAGATCACAACTTACTTAACTGGGAGCTGATAAAACGGTACAGCCCTGTAATAGATTGATTTCGTTTTCATGTCGTTCCCTTCATTGAAAACAACTCGATTGTAAAGGAAAATATTGTGTGAAAATAGGTAATTGTTTTGAAATTGACATCCTACGATAAAAACTTATTTTATATTATTTCAAATTACATAAAGCTCCATTTTCTTGATAAGACAATGGAGAACAACCTTAGATTAAAACAAACTAGTGCTTTTTTGTTTTAATTTAAAGCTACAACCAATGTTGTAACTTCTTAAAATCGGACTTTAAATTGTTACAAATAATTACAAGTGGCACAATACTAATGTAGAAAAAACTAATACGAGTAGATTAGCAGTACTTTAAAATAATATAGAAATAGAGACTCAACTGTCTCCTTGCTCCCAAAATATTTTCAGTCAAAAGCTCAGTCACTAGGGATATCATAAAGATGGGATAAAAGTTACGCCTAAAAGTTTTCCTGATAATAAATTCATTGATAGCATCATAACATAATTTAGACATGACATAACGATTCCCTCGGGTTTTTCCTAACAATATATCAGTAACGGAACAACATCAATCCATCACCAAGACTTATTGTCTTGCCAAACGTCAGAGCCCCAGATAAATGAGTTAACATCTTAAAATGTTCCTAAAACGAAGCTTTTCGAGGCACATAGGGCTTGTTGATAACAAGACTGTTCACAGAAAAACACAGCTTTGAGTTTTAATGAGGCTCTCTGAAACTGAAAACATATCTTTATCGACACAATAAATTCTTAATTGGGGAGTTGATACCACCATTCGATATACGTTCTAAGAGCGTTGGGTTTACCGGGCTTTGAAGCAAAGTGTTTATAAGAGGCTGTGCCCTGGTGGCAGACGAAAAAATATTTATTGTGACGAATAAAATTTTATATGGAGAGAGTTTGAAGATCGTGCTGCCCAAGGCAAATCTGTCGCTAATAAAACAATACTCAAGTTACAAATTAGAACTATGTATGAGCTTAATGGTGTTATAATTAAGGTAATGTGCAACGAAAACCCAAATCTACTATACCTACATATTGTCGTTAAGATCTATCTTATCTAGAAATTTTGAATTTGCCTACAAATTCAAATTTTCTAATCACCAGACCACGGGTACGGTGACAGGCAATTAAAATTGGTCGGCGAGCCACATGCGACCTTTAACCACATCAGAATTCGGGGGTAGCTACAAATCAACTAGCTTTGTCTAAACAGGGGAATACGGGCGCTATTGTTGTATAATCCACGCTATAGAGAATGGGAGGATCTTTACTAAGATAATGGAGTATAAGAAGAGATAATCTCTGAAACTTTTAGGGCCAGTTTCACCACTTAAGTCTTTAACACCCGTATTCACAAACGATCTTTGCTTAAGTGAAGCAGCAAATCGAACGTATAGCGTTGAATTGAGCTCTGTGATTGGTTCGTGTGTGACCGAGTGCGTCCACGCGCACTTGAGACCTCATAGTGATGTTTGTGAAACCGGGTGTAATAGTTTATTTGAGATTTATCTATCAGAGAAACTGAACATTCTATGAAGCGTTTTTATTTTTGGGAAATTAATATGTTACATGTAGAGCAAAATGGATTCTACATTAGATTTTTAATATGCCTAATTGCAACCAGAAGTTAATAAAATAATAATAAAAATAAACTTTTTTAAAAACAAGCTTTTATTCTGAATTTCGAAAGCTTGTATCGCGCATGGAATTTATTCCTCTTTTTTATCTGTTTGCGCTACAAGCTTTCGAAATTCAGAATAAAAGCTTGTTTTTAAAAAAGTTTATTTTTATTATTATTTTATTTTACACTTTTTAGTTATATCTTAATCTCAGGACCCTGGACATTATCTAACACTAAAGTGCTCGAAAAGACAAATCCAACGAACCCAAACTCGATGAGTTTCCGCCGTTTTCTTTAGGCGTTCCTATGGCCACCTCCCGACTCCATCATCAGACCAGCTCAATGGTACCATAATATTGCATTGTCATCGTACTTACATAAGTATACCAAATTTCAGCTCAATCGGTTGAGGAGAACTGGTCTTAAATTCAGTTGCAAGATTTGTCCCACACATACTAACAAGTGAAGTCAATATTTAAAGCTTGTAAAAAAAGATGTTCATTAACAAACCCGTTTACTTCTCTAAGCCTGTTAGTAACAAAAATTGCGGTGACGTAAGTAGGAGCTATTACACTGCGGAACAAAAAAAATAAAAAAATCTGCGGCATCTATTTTGTTAATGGATTTTGTAAATACTTGTATTAGACATAAATGGTGTGCATTTACTTTCTTTGGATTGACTCTGGTTCTTGAGATAAACGAGACACAAGAAATCAATGAAAAAAATTAAACTACCCTCCCTAAACTTATATTAATTTGATTATACCCACTAAGTTTTATTTTCTACTCATGTATTAGTGTAGTTGTGGTTACAACAATTTAGTAATCAGCTACTAGACCTTGAAATTAACAGTTTGTGTCTTTTAAATTAATTTTTAAAGAGCTTTTTTGTCTCAAAAATATGAGTTCATTATGAAAACCTTGCGTTTACAATCCCAACAGTTTTTGTTAATATTTGGCTTTTAAACTTACAAAAGCAAAGAAATAAGATCACGGAGGTAGTGATAAAAACCTACCAAGCATACTGTCTTATAAAACTTCCATAAAATAATAAATATTGGGGGTCCAATATCGTCTGCAAGACTCGTGAAGACTCTTTGCCATACTGGAGTCAAGCTGGACGTAAAGGACTTCAATTTGGATAGCCAAAGATATGAACTGAGCTTTCTAATCACTAAAATGATCAAAAGTCAGCCAATTTAAAGTCTTTTACGTCCTGAAACGTCCGTTTGAATACGGAAAAAATAAATTCGATTGACCGCAAATCCGTACTCTTATTAAGACACTGTATTTGTAAACCACATAACACAAATTGAATCTGAAGCATGGCTAAGCTTTGTTTTAGTAATCAAACAATATTTGGGGAGTCATAGAGCACCAGACTTTTCAGAATTGGTTGTTTGAAAAATTTAACACATAAGGATCTAATTTGAGTATTAATTTTTTTTAACAATAGCCATTTGGACACGTTCTCCCATAATCTGGGTGATTACAGTGAGGAATAAGCAGAACGGTTCTACCAGAACATCAGGATAGTGGAAAAATNTGTTATAGCATCGGCGCAACTCGTTGGGTCTCGAGAAGAAAAGCATGCCGGCCTCCAAGGGAAAGATGCGAAAAACTGACGCATCTCGTCCCAATCTGGTGACTTGTATCGCCATACTCGTCTTACTCCACAAGGGCCACGATCGGATGGTGAGTATGTCGATACAGTTTTCACCAGGCAGTGGTCAGAAGTTCCAAGAGGAGCTGTAACCATGATGGAATATCTGAACTAAGGATGTGATGTAGCCAAGATTTATGGTTATAAGTTTGATTAAACACTAACTTCTCGAGATATATCGCACATCAGCTCTCTGAGACCTTCAGGAATTGAAAATACGTTGGAACATCCATGTTCTTGAAGCAGCTCGTTCATATTGTTAAAAATCCACTTTATTTTTTTGGTTTAGTCAATAGTTGGTTGTTTTTAATCAAACACTTGACAGGTGAGACTATATTATTCTGTCACGGATTTGACATTATTACAGAAAAATAAAAGAAGTTTAACCATGTAGTTTTACCTAGTACAAATAGAGAGGACACTAAACTTTTTCGTCCAAGTTTTGGTCCTAAAATCCTACGCTAAAATCAATCCAATTTCAACCTAAGAAATCATTCTGATTTGTCATTTTGTTACCATTTCAGAACCAGGATCTTCACTAATTGATCAAAGACCGAACCGATCCACTTAACTGCATTTACATTTAGGCATAGACTGCAGTTAAACACAGACCCTATTATTATTTATGTACGGTAAGGCTAACATTCAGCTGTTTAAATATTATTAAGAAGTACTCCATTGAGTCATGTCAGTCGATACTTAACAACTAAGTGTCAGCAGTCGTCAATGAATCACAGTGAGTCAGTAGACTGTGGGAATCACCATTGGTTTGGTATCTCGGTGAAAACTACTAAAGGTTCGGTCAAACCAACGCGATCACACGCGATCAGCCGGCGTGCAGCGCATTTAAGTCTGGTCGCCATCGCTGCACGCCGGCTGATCGCGTGTGATCGCGTTGGTTTGGCCGAACCTTTACTGGTATGCTATATTTGGTCGAGCTAGAAATGTAGATTGAATCGGCAATCACAGGTTTTGAAGTGAATGTTTCCGACAAACAAAGTCATAGTACGGTTATCGCCAGGGACTGTTCTTATACATTTTCAATAAACTTAACTAACACATCGATGTAAACAATCTCTACATTCGGCCATTTATTGCTTACCTACCTTTTTTGTGCAGACGATGCAAGTTGATTAACGTTATTAAATAATTTAGTAAACAAAATGCATGAAAGACTGAAACCACACTGAAACCCATGCAGACAAAGCCTAAGGAGAAACAAAGATAAGTAACATCTACCTTGTTGTATTACCTTGTCTCGGTGAATAAATTATTATTATTATAAAACTTTATTGCACAATAAAATAGTACAAAAGGTGGACTTAATGCTATTTAAGCATTCTCAGCCAGTCGACCCCTGGGTTATGCAGAAAGCTGTGTGTGCGAAGGTAGAGGTAGAAGGGTAGAAGTTAAAATTGAAGTTAAATTTTTAATTGATATAATATTTAAGATACATATACCTACATACGTACATACATATACATACATATATACAGATACATACAATCATATAATATAAATAAATATAATTAACATATAATACCATTATAATCTATATATATAAAAATGAAACCCGTTTCGCGTTGTCACGGCATCACGTGTGAACGGCTGAACCGATTTCGATAATTCTTTTTTTTAAATGTTTGTGGAAGTCCAAGGATGGTTCTTACGGAAAAAAATATTAAGAAAATCTCTACGCTAAGGCGGTACGAAGTTCGCCGGGTCAGCTAGTATGTGATAAATAAATAAACAATATTACGCAATCATGTGGAAAGGTGTTTACGTACTCTCATTTTAAATGATGTCCTCGTTTCCGACTCTCTGACATCTTGTGGCAACGAGTATAAATAAATGATCTTTTATCTTTTTTTTTTCTAATCTATTCACTAAACGTGCTGTAATAGAAGCGAAGTCAGCCATTGACAAAATTATGTTAAAATGTTATTTTTGGTGTTTTAGTTAAATAATTTAACTAAATAGTTAAATAAGTTAAATAACCTAGCTAGACAAAAAACTAAAAAAAAAACTAACTACGGATGTGAAACCAAAATTAGAAAATTTAAAAATCGAACGCATTTAAAACAAACAAATGAAAAACACGTAATTGAAATCTACCTCCATCTGATTTTTATTAATACCTTCTTTGTCCACTATCCAACCAAATTAGAACTTTATTCGCCTTCATTGGTCACATTAAAATTGTCAGTACGCGGGTCATCTTAAACTGGTCACGCGTGCGCAACTTGCCGAGTTTATTTCACAATTGTAACAAACGTTGCTATTCAAATGTGTACTTTATTACAAAGAAAGTAGAGCTAAGTGTTTCTATCCGAGTGGAAGATACGGTGTGTTGAACATATCCCCGATAACTGCGTTTGCCCCATTCAGACGTTACAACCGCACCAGTGTAGTCGTCAGTATGTAATATTTTGAATTTGATAAAATACACGTGGGTTTGTGCGAGATAATAAGTGTAAATAAAACTGATAAGTGACTTGCTAGTGCGTTAAAAATACAAGATGGAGTTGACCACGGCGAAGGCAATTTCGATGCTAGTCCTGGGTTTGGGCAGCTTCGTGTTTGGGATGATTCCCGCAGGATTTTCAGAGGGAACCAGACAGAAGCATCCTTTGTTGATATCGTGCCTCCTTTGTTTTGGGGGTGGCGTGCTTCTATCCACTTCTGTGGTTCACATGCTGCCAGAAGCGAGGGAGAAGTTGCCGAATTATTCGGAACTGCTGCTGTGTGTTGGTTTCTTCATAGTTTACTTGGTGGATGAGCTGGTTCATTTGTTTTATGGGCCAGGGAACGATCCTCATAGGCAGACGTATGGGAGCAATGAGGGGACGAGTTTGCTGCGCGGTGAGAGGAATATGAGAGGGGTGGACGATGCCGAGATGGTGGATAGGTGTTGTGGGGATGCAGCCAACCCCAGGATGTGCCATGTGAGCCACACGGCGCCTTGCAATAAGAGCTCCTCAGGGGTCATAGGGCTGCTGTGTGCTTTGTTTGTACACAGCGTGTTGGAAGGGCTCGCGATTGGTCTACAGGAGGATGCTTCGCAGGTACGATTATCCTTGTTTATATTTATACCCATTGTTTATTGTTATCGTTTTGCAGGCTGCTGTATAGGTAATTTCTCTAATTAATTCAATTAATATCAAATTCTGCTCAAAAATAAGGTCAATCTACTTACATACAAAAAGCTTAAGGATTAATAAGGATGGAAATATTGTGTCATTCATTACAGCAATATTATTTCATCTTGCCTAACTTCTGTTATCATTGAATTTTATAATTACTATCAAATGTCGAATTACACTACTTTATCGTAGTTTCAGTGTGAAACAAAACTATATGATAACACACGAATTAAAATTACATGAGTGGGTTAATCGTGTGCTCATTATCATGCAACATCTACACTAATATTATAAAGAGGAAAACTTTGTTTGTTTGTTTGGTTGTAATGAATAGGCTCAAAAACTACTGGACCGTGTTTAAAAATTCTTTCACCATTCGAAAGCTACATTATCCACGAGTAACATAGGCTAAATTTTATTTTGGAAAAACATAGGATTCAGGGGTCCACGCGCGCGAAGCCGCGGGCGGAAAGCTAGTTAATAATACAATAATACTTAATTAAGAACTTTGAATGTTCATGTTACCGTAAATAAATAAGCCATTTCGTTTTATATGCCATCTCTTAAGACGGTAGATCGTAGTTAAAATTATATGACAGAACAACCTTACTTTTAAAGATTTATCTTGTTCTGAATTCATTGAATTTAATAAATTATTATCCAGTTCGGTAGCGTAGATTCTATTGTTTTATAACGTCACTATTAAATTGATACAGGGTGTGCCAACATTTTTTGCAAGTAGCAACTCTTGATTTTTCAAAAACTGTTCGAGGTAAGGACCTGTATATTAGGTATTTCTATGTTTAATTACACAAGGCTGGACCCAAATGTGGCTCACGATATCGAAGCTTACCTTATTTCGTCCCAGAGCGCATATAAGGTACGGTTTAAGTGGCCTTCAAACACTTCCTTGATCCAGTCTCAAATGTAGACTAGATGCAAGCTTAATGCCACGGGTCATTGTAGTGCGGCCTTTTACCGACCTTGCTTTTAATGGGTTATTGTTTAAGGGTCCGTTCAGCTGCTCATAGCGATTACTAAAACTGATTTTGAACATAGTTTTTCACAAGAAACAATACAAGGTAGTCGATGTTCCTGTACGTGTAGCTCATTGGTTACATACCTGAGACTGTGAGTTCTTTCAGTTGTAAATTTAATTAAGAAACCTTTGGACAATATCACACAGCGTCATTTAGCCCCAAAGTAAACAACTAATATGCTTGTGTTATGGGTGCTAGCTTATTTATTTGTGCAATATTTTTCTTTCTTTCAATGGTGCCCTAGAAATTTCAATTCATCATCATCATAATTTCCGCCACAGGACGTTTACTGCTGAATATAGGTAGGCCTCCAATGATTTCCACATCGCCCGGATGGTAGCGGCCTGCATCTAGAAGTTCATTGTTTACTTTAATAATAGCAGTTAAACAATATAAAAATCTTGACCCCGTCGATTGATAAATTGTTTAAAATTAAAAATATAAGATCAATAAAATTGGCCTTTGGAATCAATATTCATTTATCAGTATAAGTACATTGTTATTTCTTACTTTGAAAACTAGACTATTTATGAATTTTCAGCAGACAATTAATTGAATTTTTTAAACAATTACACAGGTAATGGTGGAAACTGTTATCAGTGATAAACACAAGGACCGTGTACTATCATGCAATTAAAATTTGGGTCAATCGTATCTATTCTTTTGTTATTAAAGATATAGAAATACCTAAGTCATAATATTAGATAGATATCCAATATAAGTACGACAAGTTATCGTTTTTGTTTGCAATTTAAATATGAATTATGAAATTGAATGTTAAAAACATGTTACGTAAAGTTTTTGATAATTCATTTAAAATAAAAATCAAAAATATTTATTCAGTTTAGACCACAAGTGGCACTTATGAACGTCAAAATATAGTCCTACTATCCTACTAATATTATAAATGCGAAAGTTTGTGTGGATGCCTGGATGTCTGGATGTTTGGGTGTTTGTTACTCTTTCACGCAAAAACTACTTAACGGATTTTGATGAAACTTTACAGTATTATTGTTTATAACCCAGAATAACATAAAGGCTATAATTTATGACGATCTGTGACAAACTAAAC